GCGTGCGCCTGTAGTTCCAGCTACTTGGAAGGCTGAGGCGGAAGGATCGCCGGAGCCCAGGGGGTCGAGGCTGCGGTGGCCGGAGTGGCCGCTGCACTCCAGTCTGGGCGACAGAGTGAGACTCCAACTCAAAAAAAAAAAAAAAGAAAGAAAGAAAGAGAAAAGGGAAGGCCAAAGGGTTGGAACAGGAAGGAAAGTTCGACAACAACGTGAGTGGGACCCCCTCAGGCCAAATGATGGGCAGAGGAGCAGCATGGGGCCAGGGGCGTGGCATCTTCTCACCATCTACCCTTATCCCACTCCATCACGGCTCCACCCTTGAGACCTTGGCTGTGTGAACCATGAGCCTCAAAGTCAGATGGACATGGGTTTGTATCCTGGCTCTTCCACTTGGCTCAGAGCCAGTTCACTAAGGGTCCAGTTCACTGCTCAGTGAAAGGAGAAAATAAGGCCTCGCAGGATTCTTCAGAGGGGTCTGGAGGCCACGTTGGTGACAGAGGCAAAGGCAGTCCTTAATGTGTTCGTTTGCGTATAGTGTCCTATCGTGTGGCACCGTCTAAGGGTGCTGTAATGAATTACCACAGAGTGCATGATTTAAAAAGCAGAAATGTATTCTCTCACAGCTCTGGAGGCTAGAAGTCCAGAATCGAGGCGTTGGCAGGGATAGTTCTTTCTGGAGGCTCTGGGACAGGCATCTGTTCCCCGCCTCTCCCTTGGCTTCTGGTGGTTGCTGGCAGGCTTTGGCATTCCTTGACTTGCAGCCACACCACTCCAATCTCTGCTTCCATCATCACATGGCCTTCTTCTCTCTATGTCTCTGGGCTTAAATTTTTATCTTCTTATAAGAAAAGTAGTCATTAGAGAGGAGCCCACCCTGGTCCAGTATGACTTCATCTTAACTTCATTATATCTGCCAAGACCCTATTTCCAAATTAAGCCACAACCACAGGTCCTAGGTTTTAGAAGGTGAGTGTCTCTTTCAGGGGAAACAATTCAACTCACAACACTGTCCTGACAGGTGTGCCCACTGGACTGCAGGCAATGCCTGGGAGGCACCAACAGATAAAGCAGAAGGAAGCACAAAGGAAGAAGTGAGAGAAAAGGCTGTCCTGGGAAGGAGGCCTTAGCCTCAAATCCTAGAGGGAACACACAGGCATGAGCAAGACCCCCTGGACTTTAGGAGAAAGACAGAAGTAGGGTGGCTCCCAGCTCTACCATTTGCTGCTGAACTTTTCAAGGAATCACAAACTTCTCTCAGAAAAAAGTGCGCGTGCACACACACACACACACACACACACACACACACACACACACACACAGAGTCACAAATGAGCTTCTCATTTCGGGGGGTCATGGATCTCAAACACCTGAACCTCGGAAAAGAACCCTTGGCCTCTGTACTTTGTGACGTTAGGCACATTATTGAGACTCTCTGGCCCTTGGTTTCTATGGTAGTGAGGTGGGACCATAGCAATTCTCTGCAGGATGTTGGGAAGGTCTTGGGAATTCAGGTGATGACACAGACCTGACTTCAGAAGCCCCGGGAACGGCAGCCACTGCACAAGGCATTCTCTTGCTACCCTCCTTCCCCCCTTAACCTGATGCCTCTGCTCCCTGGGCGTGAGCCCCCATTTCACTTTTACTGTCCCTCTCCCAGGTGAGCTGGACATCCGCAGCCTATTGAACTTGGGGGAGGTGCAATCAGGGGCAGAGAAGATGAGCAGGGTGGTGAGATGGTGAACTACTGCCCTCATTCACTCCCTCATCTTGACTCACTTCAAGAGGTTCCAGGGACATGGATTCGGGATCAGATTTTTAAAAAATAAACATCAAACTTGAATAGCGCAACATGGGCACTATGACAGAATGTCTTTGGCCATATTAAACCCAGGCCCAATTGCTTTAAACAATAAGAACGACTTAACTTTTTTCCATATAGCTAGAGATCCTGGCGAATAAAAACTTTAGAATCAGTTAGTTCAATGGCTCATGACAGTTCTCAAGACCTCAGTTCCTTCTGCCTTTTGACCATATCACCCTCAGCAGTAGCTATGTCCTCAGCTGTCTTTCATAGTCACAAGGTGGCTGCCACCATTCCGGACCTCACAATAAACACAATGTCCAGGGGAAGGAGAGGGATCATTCCTCCTCAGGTCTTATTTTTTTGTTTGTTTGTTTTTTTGAGTTGAAGTCTCACTCTGTCACTCAGACTGGAGTGCAGTGGCCACTCCCGGCCACCGCAGCCTCGACCTGCTGGGCTCCGGCCATCCTTCCGCCTCAACCTTCCAAGTAGCTGGAACCACAGGAGCGCACTACCACACCCGGCTAATTTTTGATTTATTGTAGAGATGAGGTCTCGCCAAGTTGCCCAGGCGGGTCTTGAACCCGCGGGCTCAGGCAATCCACTCACCTCAGGAGGTCTTATTTTAAAACCAAGATAATCTTCCCCAACAAGTCTACCTTGACTCCTCCCTTCACGCCACGTTGGTTTGAAGGGGCTTGTGCTCCCCCCAACGCAGTGTGTGGTAAGAATATGGAATGATTACCGTAGGATCAGACTCATCAAGAATTGCTCTTGAGGAGGAGATGAGTGTTGGGGCATCTGCCGACAGTGCCTGTGACAAGTCAGGAGCCAGTCAGGAGTCTCACTCCATTCTGAGGTAATAGGCAGAAAGGGCAAAGTCTATGGATTAGCCAAGTTTCGATGCAATGGTCCAACTGGGAAATTCAGTATGCAAAAGATTGCTTAGCCTTAAGTTGTAATATAATGGGAAAATATATAATCGACGAGAGCAGACAAGAGAAGTGCCTAATTCTAACACTTTGCTGGAGAGTGAGGAATGAGGAACTGGGGGTGCATACTTGCTTAGAGGAGGTGCCAATAACCAAGTGAACATCTCTCGAACATTTAGATTTGCAAGGCACGATAGAACGAGCATCCCATACGTTAACTCATTGAATCCCTTTAGTCAGCCTCTGACTTAGTTACTACTAGTTCCAATTTTAGGGCGAGGAAACGGAGGCAGAAAGAGGTTAAGTTGCTTTCCCGAGGTCATCAGGTTAGTTCACTGGTCCCTGGATTCAAGTCCAGACCAATTTGTTACTTAATCCCTGGAGCATTATCTCTCCTAAAGGAGAAAAAACCCAAACAAATAAAACCCACTTTTCTAAAACAACAAACATGAGTTCCTTAGCTGATTAAACTAGAAATAGGAAGTTAGGATGTCCATACAGAAAGAAAAGCAAAGAAGATAGGTTGAAGGTGCTCAGAAGGCTCAAATATACCCGCCAGAAAGCTACTAGTTGTTTCAGGCAGGAGATGGTTATGACCTTGTTAGATGGTACAAAAAGAAAGGAAGAGGCAAGTTGAAAGAGATACATATTATTTCCAAAGGAGGACATATTAGTACGAACATTAATATAATTAATTATGGATAGGTGTTGCCAGAACAGAGTCTCACGGTGGTGGCCTGAAGATGAATTGAGTTTCTATAAAGGATTCAAGGGACCTGGAACCGAATCTAAAACGCCATTTAATGTCCAAGCAGGTTGGCTCATAAGGTGGTACTCATAATTCCTCCATAACTGCCAGCGAGTATTCCCCCATGTGCTTCTTCATATTCCAGAGAGAACCAGAAGTTTTCCTCCCCAATCACATGGGCAATTGGCTGACGGATGGGAGGATCCTCTCCTAGCCCAATCAGTGTCCAGCACAGCCTAGCACTGCACCTCTACCTAGGGGCCATGGCAGGGCAGGGTCAGCCAAATGAAGAGACCATGTCAGAAGGCAGGATAACAAAGAAGGGTGAGTCTAAGCTGACCCAAAGAACTGGGAGGATAAGGTTATTGGAAGCAATGAAATTGATGGAGAACCTGTCAAAGAACTATCTCTTAGGAGGAAGGGTGGTGATGTGTTCGGTTTTGAGTAGGCTGGTTTTGAGAAGATGGTGGCATCCAAGAGTTGGCCTTCGAGGGGAAAGTCTAGAATATAGGTCAGGATGGTACACACAGAGATCAGATTCAGTTAAGTCGGTGTGACCATTCATTCTATTATTGAGCGTGTGGCAGGCACTGTCCTCAGTTCCAGAGCAAGGATCAGAATAAAGCTTCGGTCCTTGTACAGTGTACTTTCCAATGTCCAAGCCCTTAAAAATAAGTGATGCTTTACACAACTCTGTGTGACCGTGCAGAGGAAAGAGTGAGGCTGAGCTGAGAAGACAAAATAAAGACAGTGAGCAAAAAAATAAGACAGAGAAGGTGTTAACAGAGAAGAATAAGGGACCCAGAAAGTGTCATTTCACGGAAGCCAAAAGTTGAGTGAGTTTACAAAAGGAATTAGCACCGAAGGGTCCCAGGCTAGTAGCAAGAAAACATCATTGAACTGGACGTGAGGGTTGCCATTGGTAAGCTTCTGGCAATAGTTATTGATCCTCGTCATGCATCAGAATCACCTGAGGAGCTTTAAGACTCATAGATGCCTGGGAGCTATCCCCAAGGACCTGACTCAGTTGATCTGAAGTGGGACCTGGCATTTGAATTATATTTCAGTGGCTCAGATGATTCTAAAGTACAGGCAGAGCCGAGAAACACTGCTTTAAAGAAAGTGATCCTAACGTATGTTAATTAACTTCATTTACCCATTCCAGTGTATACAGATTTCAAAACATCATGTGGTCCATGATAAATGTACGCGATCTTTATTTGTTAATTTGCATAATTAACTAAAGGGAGTCTGACAAATAAATAAGAAAGTGGTTCCTGTAGTGTGATAGCAGTAAAAGCCAGATTGCAGAGAATAAAACGTGGGGTGTGTGTTTCTTGTAGAGAGACTAGTAGTCTTTACATCAGACATGGATGTTTAGCCTCCGTCTTCTGCCTTACTGTGTGATTTAACCTCTTTGTGTCTTATCTGTAAAATCAGGATAGAAATACGTGCTGTGCACAACTCACAGTTTCCTTGGGAGGTCAAGATGGGATAATAGATGTGAGAGTACTTTGAAAAAAGATTGAAGTGCTGTAAAAATGTAAGATTTATATGGTTGTCAGTTTTTTTCCCCAAAGATGGTCCTGAAGATAGTGATTATCAACTGTAAAGACCTACATGGAACCAGCATCCCTTTCCACACTGAGCTCACAAAGACAGCGCCCTTTGATAAGTGTTCGCAGCTACTATACAAAAGGTCTAATGCTGTTTGCAACTCTCGCTTTTTCACAGCTAGTTTTGCACTGGATCTATAATAGATGCAGTTTTCATAGCCTTGCATATCCTGCTTACAGTGGCTAAACAACACGACCTTGCAGCATAAAGCCAAGAATTGAAGGATGTAGCTGTTAAGGTTACAAAGGAAGTTTAATGTTATGAGGTCCCCCATTAGAGTGTCACCCCCATGGTTACAGAGATATGGGAAGGCAGAGGACAGATTGAGAGACACCCGTGAGAAGTGTCAGTGCTGCAGGATCTAAAAAGCTTGGTTTCTCAGATGGGGAAGGACTGGCAAACATCTGAGCCAAAACCAACAGTAGAATTCAGTGGCCACCTCGGGTTCCTTGAGTACCCAGATATGCCCATCTACGTAATATATGCCATGCTGGGTCTCCAAGAAATAAAGCAATGCTTCTCTCAATCTTCTGCAAACTCTGACTGCCCGTGGGATGACACCTGTCCCCAGGTGAGCGGTGAAACCTCTTTGTGGTGACTAAGTTCCAACAGAGAGGCTTTCTTGAATCATAGATGACCATAGCTGTGAAGAGTAGTATTACAACGTGCTTTCTGCTCACTTTTGGGTTGAAGTTTTCCCTGGGTGAAAACACAAGAAATGCAATTCTTTGTCAAGGTAATAGCATAATTAGTAGTTGAATTTCTTCTTTCCAATGAGCAGCTTGAATTCAGAGCAAAAATGAAAAGATAGACAAACTCCTGACTAGGAGTCGGGCCAGGTGTCAGATAACTGGTATAAGCATCAGAGATATCCTGGGGAGATCAGTTACCTCCAGCTTTGCTGTTAGGGAGAAGGTGCTAATTACATTCTTGAACGACCTGCAGCCTCTCTGCTCCTCTTCACCCAACCTCTTCCACCTTGCAGGAAGGTTCACTTCAAGAATGCCCTTCTTGCACCGAAGTGCAGATTCTCAAAGCCAACCCCTCCCTCCTCTTAACACAACCTCCAACAGGACTTAGAGCTTCATGCATATCACATTGTAAAGCCCCAGGACAAAACAGGATTTTGAAGACATAAAGGATGCTTCACAAGTGTGCACCGATTTTCTTTTTCAGGGAGAGGTCACTTTCTTTGTGTTCAAATATCCTCGTCAAAAGCTAACCAGGAGGAGAAAGGGGTACAGAAGCATCCTTTAATGGCAGACCTCTATTCTGAAGAAGGATCTTTCATGCCCCAGGGTACAGGGGTCTAAGCCTCTGGCTTGGGAAGTAACGAGGTTTGGTGAAAGAATAACTCTGTGGTCAGTGGTCATTCCTTCCGGTGTTCAAATCTCACCTTTTAAAAAGCTGCTGTGATCTTGGCCGGGTAATTTAATCTAGAAGGAATAAGGACATTATCATATGGCATTATTGTGAGTATGACTTGCTGGAACTCACAATATAAAACATGGTGTAGCTTGCAGGTCCACAATATAAAACATGGTGTAGCTCAACCTTTTTAAAAAATCCTAATAAGACTGGGTTTTAGACAGTCCAGTGACCTCTTACCTCTGTGAATTTCCTATGAACAGAAGAAGGAAACTTCAGCTAGAGGTATGTGCTTATAATTGAAGCAGGAAGCCCAGGGCCCAGGGAAGGGGATGCTTTGCAATTCACTCTCCAACAATTCCTTGCTTCCTCTGTGGAAGGACTACTTATCAATGAATCAGCAAGTGGCAGTGCAGTCTTCAAAATTATGTGAACATTTTACCATTTTTATACTGCTATAATAATATGCAAACCAAAGGGCATCTTTCCCCTGCTCTCAAAGAGAAGTTGTTGGCAATTATAGTTTCAGAAGTACAAGGCACAAAAACTGCCCAAAAACTCAAGATGAAAGCTAAAATTAGATTTCTTTTTGAAGCACTTCCCCTGACAGTCCCTAATAGTATTATTGGGGCTGCCGAAACCGTAGGTGATTTCCTATACACACAGTCAGTGCAATAAAGAGACACAATAGACGTAAGAATAACTTAAAACTTAACAGTAAGATTATTTTTCAAGTAGCTTCTCCAAGTATAATACCTTAGCATCTAGAAAAAGTAACTGCTGCAAACATTTGAAAAGACAAAATTCTAGGTAAGGGCCTGGGAGATTAGCACAATTGAACATAATAGCTCCTTTCAAATCATTTCCTAGGGGCTAGACTGCAAAAGCCCTAAGACAGGTTTCCAAATATATTTTATTTATTCAACGATGAAAAAGACTATTTGAAGTTCCTATATTCCTTTCACACAGAGACACTTCACTGAACTTTAAGAGAAGTATTCGTCTGTAGGCACAAAATGAGTAATTCCTCAGCTTCTAGAAAATGTAATCGGTGCAAACATCTGAAATGCTAAAATGCTATGCAAAATGTCTTTTGTAGAGATACAGAAAAAAAAAACCTTGAAGTGAATATCATTTCAAGCTGGTCTCAGCATTTATGTTTAAGAAATGAATACATACTCACATGCTTACTATGTGATGCAGAGAGTATCTCTAGACAGCAGCAACTGCTGCCTCTAGAGAGGGTAGCTGGGGCCCTAAGAGAGAAGGGTGAGAGGGAGCTTTTCTGTGTGCAGTGCATGCTCTCTATGTTATACTGTGTGCATGCATTCATATTAATCTAACTACCTAATTTAATTAAGCATGGCCTCTTCCATGGGCAAGCCAGCGCATTCTTCCCAGTGGAGTAGAAGATCTGTCTCCATGATCAGTCCTGGAGGCCGATGCTCCCTGGCCTGGACCTCAGGGACACCATAAAGCAGAGAAGTCCCCTGCCTTCTTTTCATACTGAGCACCAGCTGAGAGCTGCCCTCGCACTAAAAAGATGCCATGAAAATCAAATATTGTCTCAGGGCTGCCCCCACAAGATGGCTGGCTATTCCAGCCCCTGAGTGGGCCACTGCTTTCCAGATGTACCGCTGTGGTCTTTCTCTTGTTGCTCCTATCCTTCTTTCCTTACTAGGATTCACCTGCTTCCTCAGGAAGCCCAAGACACGATGACTAAAAGGAGAAGGTGAAAACCCCCTCTGGGTCCTGGAATACCAGGGGAACACATTGGAGCCAAATCCTCTTCTGGAACAAACTAGCTATGAGACCTTGGCAAGTGACTTGACCCCTCTGGTCCTCAGTTTCCGAACCCTTGAAACTGTAGTAGTCATTATTTCCTCAGGGGAATGGAACAGAGATGGAATGAAATCCGTGATGTAAAATGGTTTCGTGTAGTAGTCGACATATAGCAGGTGAGCAATACATGTTAGATGCCACCACCATCATCATAAGTGGTGGTAGTGGTAGTATTAACTGGTTCTAGTTCTCACTGTCGGGGGATGATGTTTTCAAAATCTCCGGGCCTGAACACATTTCCGCACTCTGTCCCGGGACTCAAGTGTGGATTAGTAGAAAGGGTGGGCTTTACAGCTAGATTGGGGCTTGACTTTGAGCAAGTCCTTGACCTCTTTTAACATTAGTTTCTTCAACTATACAGTGAGAATATACCTTCCACTAGTAGCGGGGCAATGATTACAAATGATGTGTAAGAGTACCTGCCAGGTAATAGGCGCTCTACACATCCTAGCTGTTTTGACTTGACTCCAAGGGGGCTTACTTACCTCCTGGACCCTGAAAAGCTTTCTCTCTTCTGCTTTCACACCTTTGTTCAGCCCAGTTGCCTCTGATTGCCCTGTCATCTCTGACCATCTCCATCTCCTGAAACGTCCGTGCACTTTTTAGCCTCTGTTCCATCTGAGAGGTTTTGTGGCATTTTCTCTAACCACAGTGACTTTTCTCACCCCTATACTTATAATGTATTTATCTTCTGTGGGGCAACAGGAGCTAGGAGCCCAGTGGGTCCCAAGTCCCTCCCGCTGTGGTTGCTGTTAGGCTTAGTGGAAACCACATGTCAGGCAATAACATGCAGAAAGGACAACAGTTGCAAGTGGCTGAAGAACCATTTCCCGACAGATTCTTCCTGAGGTCCTTGTGCTATGTATGATTTCCGTGTTACCTTAGGGGGTCACTTGTCAGCTCCCAGATGCCTTGTTCAGTAGTGTCTCATAACAACAACACATTGGTTCGCTGATAAATGAAGGCACACTGGGGCTTCTAACAAGTGGACAGGTTAGAGGGCCACAGGACGCATTAGCAGACATCCACGTGAGCAGTCGGTGTTTCCTCTCCCCACGGACCTAACTCCAGCTGCTTCTACATCCATTTGGTGCAAATCAGATCGAGTCATCCTACCCAGGGCTGTGAGAGGATACTGGCCAGCTCCTTATCAAGTCTTCCAGGCCCGTCACCATCTGACCCCAATTCCCTTTCTAGGCTCTTGACCTGGAAACGGTCACTTTGTACCTCTTGCTGTTTCCCAAGTCCACCATCCTCTTTCCTGCGTCTAGTCTTCGCTCCACTCGGTGTGTTCCTTTGTAACATCTATACCTAATGAATCCTGCCCATGCTTTAAAACGCAGCTCAAAGCTGCCCCCGTGAAGACCTCTGCTTGCCTCTCCCAGACAGAGTGTGTTTCCCCGTCAGTTCTCTGGTGTTGAGCTTTTCGCATGATATATCCACTGTGTTGACATTCTTCTTCCCCACAGGACCGGAAGCATTGTGAGATCAGGGGTGAATTTTATTAAACCTGAGTCTGTCCAGTATGGTGTCTGATAACCAGGACGTTTTATTTAATGGATCTGATGCAAGAAAACAGAAAAAAGTGCATAAATTGGTGAAAGAACAACGCTGCTTCTAAGGAAAAACCGCCACTCTTCCCAGCCTTCCCATCCAGGTGGTCCTAGGAGTTACTCTTCATTGGTAGGGGTCGGGAGGGGCTACAGAGGGTCGTAGAGTCCTGTGTGCAAGAGGTGGCCACTCATGGGGGTGAGAGGGCGGAAAGCAAATACCTGCGTCTGAAAACATCAAACCTGAGAGAATTTCCGTTTCTAGACTTGTTCTCACACTCCTATCCTCTTGCAAAGGGCGATTTCCAGTGAAATTTAATCAGTGATATTTTAAAAGGTCCTAATTATTTTTTAATTTATGAAATAGCTATAATCCCAGTGCCGAGAAATCTCTTACTCAGTAGCTGCAGTTGCTCTTGGAAACACCAAAATTATTCCCTTGATAATTATTGAGCGATCTGTTTTCACCTATGAGCCTAGCTCATGTGTAAGGATTCCTGCCTGCCCGTTTATTTTCTGGCTAATTTGGTCCCTTTGCACCATGTGACCTTCAGTGACCCGTGTGCAATATGGAAATCATCCTACTAGGACTTTCCTTAGAAGCTTCACAGAGGTGTGCCAAGCATTACGAGTGCTATATCAATTTTTAAAACCAGGCAGAGTGAAACCACATCACATGTCCCAGGAAAGCCTGTAATGCTGTCTTATAAAGAAACTGGAGTTTCTCAATCTTTGCCATTCTCTGCTGGAAAAAAGCTCTCACTCAAGTACATCCTTTCCTACGCATTCTACAGCAGGACATTTATGGGGTCAAAGAAAGACACCAAAAACTTGCCCAAGCTGTTTAGTTCATACTTATTCACCGCTTAATATGGGCCAGGGTGCAAAGACCTTACATGCTCTGTTTAATCTTCTTCCAAACCCTGGGAGGTTTTTATCCTGCAAATGAGAAGCCTGAAACACAGAGAAGTTGATAACTTACCCAAGGTCATATGGCTTGAGATGCCAGAGTAAGCTTTATTTTTTATTGGCACATAATAATTGTACATATCTATGGGGTGCATAGTGATGTTTCAACAACAATGCATACTGATCAGATCAGGGTGACGCATATATCTGTCATCTCAAACATTTGTTATTTCTTTGTGTCGGGAACATTCAGTATCCCCTCTTCTAGCTACTCGAAAACAAATAATAATACATTATTGGCAACTATAGTCATCTTACATGTTATTCCTCCTACTCTAACTGTAATTTTGCCATCCCTTGACAAGTCTGTCTTTCTCCCTCTCTTTCTCCTATCCTTCCCAGTCTCTAGAATCCTCTGCTCTACTTTTTACTTCTATGAGATCAACCTTTCAAGCTACACTATATGAATGAGAACATGTGGTGTCTAACTTTTTGTTCCTGGCTTATTTCAGTAAGCATCATGTGCTCCTGGCTCATTCATGTTGCTGAGAATGACAAGATTCCATTCCTTGCGATGGCGGAATGGGATTCCCTTATTTCTCTATCCATTCAACTATTGTTGGACACGTGAGTTGATTCCATATCTTGGCTATGGTGAATAGTGCTGCAATAAACATTGGGGGTGTTTATGGCTTTAACACACTAATTTCCTTTCCTTCGGATAATGTCCAGTAATGGGATTACTGGATCATATGGTAGTTCCATTTGTGGATTTTTGAGGAACCTTCATACTGTTCTCCATAGAGTCTGTACTAGCTTACATTCCCAACCACAGTGTAGAAGAGTTCCCTTTCTCCACATCCTTGCCAGCATTTGTTATTATTATTAATATTATCGTCTTTTTTATAAGAGCCGGAGTAAGCGTCTGAAGTCAGGTGTACCTGACTTCAGAGACTGAAAGTGTAACACTAAACTGGGCTGACTCTCCATGGTGTGTTCCCCTGACTTTTTGTTCAAGAAGCCTTTTTCCAACATGTGTAAATCCTAGATAGCTCTCATAAGGTCTTACTCGCTTTGGCATTTCACATGACATGCAGTCTTATCTTTTTAAAAGAAACAGAGTAATGAGTTGAAAAAAGTGTTCATCACATTCAAGTACGCAAGACATTTCTGAAATTATTAAAATAATTTTCTAAAAACTCCATAGGGAAAAGACTACTTGTGTCCTCTTGACTTGCATTTTTTAAAAAATCTTTGTATAATGTCTTAAGTGGGTGCAGTGACCCTCTTTGTCATTGGAAACACAGCCTTCTGTGTGCTGCTATCCACAGTCAGACAGGTGTGTCCCACAGGGGAGCTCACCTGGTCCTCAAATATGTAGTAAGCCTGCCATCTATATGAGACAGTATTGGCAAAAGAAGTCATGGCTCTTGCTGGGCAGAAGCTTACAAGCCAGGTGCTCACTCCTTTGAGGAATTTCCAGCCCCCAGACAGACCATAGCATGAGATCCCCAAAAGCCATAAGGCAAGAAGTTCAGGAGAGAAAGAAATCATAACCACTCTGGCAAGGATCTCAACTTGATCTCTTGGAAAAGGCTCTTGAAGGCCAATTTCTCAACTCCAACTTCTTTCATTAGTGTGTATTGACCAGGATGGGGAGGACAAAGCCAAGGCTGAAGCTAGGATGGAAGAGACCATAAGCTCAAGGACGGAGCTCAAGAAACACGGGATTCTCCTGCGCACCCAACGGTGTGAATAAAAACTCAATCAATTTGTATATCCAAGGGATATTAAAGCAAGTAACAAGTGGCTGTGCTGGAACAGAGTTGAGGGCCAGCAATGCAAAGTGTTAGGCAGTAGCTTTCCTTCCATCCTCAGGGCAGCCTCTTCCTTGATTCTTGGCTTCTTCAAAAGAGAGTTTTGTGCATGTGTAATGCTCTCAGCTTCGGGGCAGCTCAGGCCACCTGGCCATCCAGAAGCCCAGGCCCCAAGGATGGATCTGCAAGTGGGCCATGGAGGATGAGCTCAAGGCTAACCACTCCAGGCCTGGTCAGGCCAGAGAAAACACACGGCCACCTGGGGCGTGCATAGAGGCAGGCACAGCCAGGCCCGGGGG